TTTACTTCCATGGTGCAGGCCCTTCCCTAGGAAAGTTCCATACCGCAGTGACCTCAGCATAGGGATCCACCACTGAGAAAGGCATGCTAAGGCTCCATGTACACTGCAGCTGATAAACTCATGTTTAAGAGCTTTTCTGCATTTTTTTCAGCAGCCCCTGAACTCTTCCTAATGTTTTCCTATGTGTCCATGTACACTATGATATTTGCATCGTTTTTACGGGCAGTTGAGTTTACAGTCTTTTTTTAAACGCACCAAACTTGCAATCAGAAGTAGATTTTATCAGCGTTTCAAATGCCAAATGCTTGTAAATGTGTGTAAACGCAGCTAACCGCGTTTACAAGCATTTGCGTTTTGGAAATTTTTTTTAACTCTTCCATTTCCAGATGCTGTCCAGAGCCTTTTTTCATCATGAAAAATGCATGCAAAGCATTTTTCCGGTACTCAAATGGACCCGGTACACCATTCTTTGAGGTTTTGCATGAAAGAAAATATGTTAGACACTGCTGCAATAATTTCTGCACAGAAATGAGCTGAAACATCCAAACACCACAAAAAAAAACGGCTAATCTCAACAAATACTACTCTCTCTGCTTCTGCTCTATTTCTCTCAAAATGTCTGAAATAGTTAATTTTTACTGTTTTTCAGTGCATTCTGGGCAGTCTCCTGAGGTAATCTTTAAAAAACACTTCTAAACGCAAACGCTTATAAACGCGGTATGCAAACACAGCTAAACAGACCTTTTTTTAACCTATGTTTTCCAGCAGTCAGTTTCCATCGTTCAGAAGTATTTTCCAAACATCCGTGTACATGGAGCTTTAGACACACTAAGCCACTCTTCCAGCTGAAACCCTCCATCACTGGCTACCACCATTCCAGTCCCGAACTGTCTGCTCTTCCATCTGTACACCAAGGTTCAGGGGCGGACTGACAACTCATGGGGCCCCCAGTCAATAAGGAATTATGGGGCCCCTGTGTCCTTGCACACACCCAAAAAAGCCTATGAAAAAGCCAATGATATGTACCAGGGGCATCTCATGGGGCCCCCTACTGACCCCGGGCACTCGGGCATTGCCCGAGTGTTCGAATGGTCAGTCCGCCCCTGCCAAGGTTACATCTCTTCGTTCCCCCCATTGCTCATACTGTTTTGGCACACATAAGGTTCTCTTCAATGCATGATAAGCCTTAGCAGAATCAACAAACTTGTTTACAGGAGTTTCCTGATGCTGTCACATTGATCTTTTAGAGTTCAGTATTCAACAATTCCAAGCACAGACTTAACGGTTACAGTACAGTAACTCAAGGAATCTATTTCAATTTGCCACAATCATCACATTATCCACTGTGATGATCTCTTCTAGGTAAAATACACCACTGTGATGGTTTAGCTGTTACGGTGGTGCACATACCTTTTAACTTGATTACTCTCCACATATTTGTCTATCGGTGTCTTACTTTCCCTGACTCTGGATTCCATCTTGGGCAGGGGCGTCCCTTGGGTTGGTGTCACCCTGTGCGATAACACTTGGTGACACCCCCTCTGACGATCCCTGCAAAATGGATCGGATCTGAGGATTGAGCATAATGGATTAGATCCATCCTGCGGGGTTCATCGGCTTGCTTTACAACTTACCTTTTCGTGGAGCAGGTCCGGTGTCACCCCATGCGGTGCGCACCCCCGCACCTGCCTCGGGAAGCCACTGCATTATCCCACACCTGACTTTGTGTCTCTTGTGTAGCTTCAATGGAAGCTCCCATGACTTACAACCACCCTGGGCACTACTTCATATACTTTTATAACCTTCTAACAGGACAAGACCTAGCCTCTGAATGAAGCAAAGATGCATGCTGTTATCCCCAACACTCCCAGGCATTACCCACACACACAATGGAATGCAATTTGGCACCTGCCAGCAAATATACAGCAATAATTTTCATAAAAGCTCTATTTATTGTCATTAAGTGTTAATTCACACTATACCACATATGATGAAACTCGGGTTTTAAAATGTGTTACTGTATTGCACCGAGATGTGCTGTATACAGTATATACACTGTGGTACATTACCATTCAATTTTATTCATACTCTAAAGCACATACACAGTTAAAAAATTGCTATCTTGAACAGATGTAAATGCTTATAGTTGAAACAAATTTGCAAATTGTGTCACATTTTGGGGTTGGATGGAGTCAATTTGTTGGTCATGCAAATTTTAAATTGAAAATACAGTGATTTTGTACATATTTTCTTTGTTGCTTAGTAAGGCCTGGTTCACGTGGTTGTTTGCTTCTATAAGAGCAGTGTGAATAGCAAGCTTTCACAAAGCATTTGCTGAAACTTTTAAAATGCCCTTCAACTCCATTTTGTATATGTGGAACACAGAACGTAATAGGAATGCTGATTGTCACTTTAAACAAGCTACTAGCAGGCTTTAGCACTACTTGAAGCTTGTAGATATATATATATTTCTGTGAAAAAACATTTGCTCCTTCCTGATTTTTTTTTTTTTGCATATTTGTCACACTTAAATGATTCAGATCATCAATCAAAATTTCATATTCCACAAAGATAACCTGAGTAAATACAAATGCAGTTTTTAAATGATTTCATTTCTTAAAGGAAAAAAGACATCCAAACCTGCCTGGCCCAATGTGAAAAAGTAACTTTCACAGAGTTACCTTAGTGACTGTCAAAGGAATATGTGTGGCAATGTAAATACTAAGTAGTAAGCAAAAGTCTGGAGACTGCCAGCATGAAACAGACGGTTTAGAAAGATGTTGACCCCTTTGTAAAAGATAGAAGGTAAATGTAGGAGAACAGTTTACTTGTTCCAGAGTTGAAAAAGATTTTATATGATAAAAGCAACATGTTAAAATGTATAAAGTTGAAAGAAAACATATGACCTTTAGGAAAAATCAAAATTTTCTGTAAGGATTTTGCTCATCGCTAATCATGATGTGTTTGGAGGCTACCTTTGGGTCCCTAGGTTTCTTATACTGGGTGAGAAATTTGTATTCAAGCTAGGTGATATGTATAGCAAAGAGGAGCATTTACATTTTATTTTAGGCTTCAGAGTTTTAGCAACAGCTTTAAATGCAAGGATAAAGACACTTTAATGTTGTCTATCTTTTGGCATAGTACTGCAAGGGAGGTTATGCTATGAAACTTAGTAAAAGGGGTGGACTCATGCACTGCCAAAGATATAAAAACGAAGAAGCTGCTGACACCTAACTGGACTAGAATGGATGAAACATAAGTAGATTAAGTGGTGTAGTGCTAATACCATGTGATAATTGACATAAAAAATCAATAAAGGACTCGATATTAAATAGGTGAATACATATATTATAGGAATAAATATATAGATGTGCAGCGGTGCACCTAATGTATAGCCCAAAAACATACCATCAAGAATGTGACTAAATATAAGTGATATAAGGTGATCCCTGGAGAAGTCACGTGTTATTGTGACGCAACATGTCAGACTAGAGCATGCTGATGCAACTACGCTACGCAGCCATCTTTGGACTCCCTATGCAAGCACCCTGACTATTTCCTGTTTATGAGCCATTGGAAGAGTGGAGGAGTTTTTTAAAGGTGCCTTACCATTGTAATGGTTGATTAACCATGCGCTGTGTGGAAGCTGATCCTGTGTCCATCCAGAGAGTGAGATTTATCCCACCTGGAACTATACTGGTGATTTGTTATGCCTTATGACTCCTTGAGGGTCAAAGATTGGAGGTAAGCGTGCACGCTAAACGATGACAGATGGTCTGACGCACTTGAGCATGTATTAATTTTCACGGTCGAAGATTGATTCATCACAGTTATACGTTTGGGTCTTTGTGCTATACGATCTATGAATATTGTTTTTTTTATGATCACATGTATTTATATTTGGTTAATATTTGTTTCACTTATATCACCTATCACTTATATTTAGTCACATTCTTGATGGCATGTTTTTGGGCTACACATTAGGTGCACCACTGTACACCTATATATTTAGTCATATAATTTATGTATTCACCTATTTAATATTGAGTCCTTTATTGATTTTTTTATGACAATTATCACATGGTATTAGCGCTATACCACTTAATCTACTTATGCTATGGAACTTAGTACAACTGACTAGGAGTTGAAATAACCAGACAGGTTATGTTGAGGTAAATTTAAAAAAAAGAAGAAAAAAAGCTTGCCACTTACAATAGAATATGGAGAAATTTTGCTTATACAAATATGTCTATAATTATATGTAAGTAAATATAAAATACAACTGTCTATTTTTCTTTGCTCATGTTTTGCATTTTTCTTCTGGCAAAAATTACGCATATTTGTGTATTTTAAATGCTTAAATTTCCATTGTAAGTAAATTTAGCAAAAAAGGACATGGTTTGCTAATTATTCAGGTATGGTGAGAGCTGACTGTAAATTGCCATATTATTTTGGAAAAAAAAAAATATATTATGCATTTCTACTATGTAAATCATTTGACAAGCGTATAAAACAAATTCCACAAGAAATTGCTTGAGAATTCTGGATAGTCTCCTGCTGGATAGAAAGGATATTTTTAAAACTGCCCAAATTTAGGTCTCCTTCATAAGGTTGCATACATTTTTATGACAACAACTCAGATAGGCTATGCTTAAAGCCCAGTTGAAGCCTTGCACCTTTTTATCTCTATATAGGCATGTACGTCATATATTCTGACCTGTGGCATTGATATAAATACTTCCTGCAGCACCCGCAGCAGGATTTTCAGCAAACTCAGCACATCTGAAGTATGGTTGGAACCCCATATTGGGCCGGACCTGAACCTCATCCCTAACAGCAGAACGTGCCATGGCCTCTCATAGTTTCCACCAACAGTATTGGTGAGAATTCAGAAGAATCATTGGTAAACAGAGACAGAGCATTGTAACCCCATAACAGGAAGTGGCTGAACAAGGATTTTCATGGTAGATTTACCAGCAATTATTTACTGTAAAGTGTTACTAAACCCACAACAGTAAAATCAGTCTGGATATGCAGTAAAACATGCTTGTTATACTCACTGTGGAACCTAAGGGGATACTCCTCTGCATTGTGTAAAAATGCTGTTTGATCTTGATTACTCTGATCCTCCTCTTCTTCCAGTGTCCCCCTCTTATCTCCTGATAAGACATATTGTGTGGAGTTACTCTGCACATGCTCAGTTTAGTGTGTATTTCTGGAGGGTTTTATTTTTTTCCTTGGGAGAGTGCATGTGATCAGCACAGGGCCAACCTTCACTGTCCAGACAGAGGTCAGGGGTTCTGCATCCTCCTAGAGCAAAATAAAAACTCTTACAAGCTTTAACATGTGCTTGGCTAGATACTGATAGAAGTCACAAGACTGCTCTAACTGCTGATGAGAAAAGGTATTTAGCAGTATATATTTGCTAAAATAATTGCACTTTCATGTTCTGTATACTGTGGGAGACCAGATATAGTGAATGCAGGGTCCTGGGTTTAGTAACACTCTAATGACAGCTACAATTTTTAAAAGATGGAAGTGCTGGGGGGTAGAGATGGAAAAGTGGAAGTTCACCTTTTGGGCAAAGTTTCACTTTAAATTTGTGGATTAACTAAGTGTTTATTTTTTAATAAATTCTTTTAGTCTGTTTTCTGGAAATGGTATTTGTTAACGTTTCAGTATCTAGAAATGAAAATCCACTGCGATGACAAGCAACTAGGATCCATCAAGTACAAAATAAGACCCAAGAGGTTTCAAAGCACAATGGTAGATAGACTGCAGCAGTTGATGAGCCCATCGGTCATTATTTGTAGACGAGTTCTATGTTTTTATGGCCCTGTAAGCCATATAGATAAACATCTTATTACATGCTATATTACGCTGAAAGTTGTGTTATAGTTTATATAGAGATTTGTCATTAATCTCTCATAGCTGAACAAGCAGTCCCTCTCCCTCTATTCATCTCCACTCTTCTTCACCTTGCATTTGGTACAGCAGCATGTGGAACAAGTCGAAAACCCAGTTAAGTCTGTGAAAAATCCCTTTAGTCACAGCTTGAATAGCAAAATGTGCCTATCTAAACTCATGCCTGAAATATAATAAACACGCCTTTCCTACTGAATATTAAAATAGTGATGCATATTAGGGAGGATTAGACTAATATTCAGTAAATCGGGGACATTTGCACATGTCTACTTATTACATTCTGAATTGAATGACAGCTGTAATATTATGAAAATTATATGAAAAACACTGCATTAGTAAATGGTTTAAAAGAGCTCATGGTCATGCTATGTAATCTGCCCCGTGTCTAATTGGATGTTATGGATTTTAAAAATCAAAGAAGTTCATTAAGTACTCTTCCAACCCTATTCAGTAACAATTTACAAAGTGATACAGCAGTCTGAATACAGATCAGGAGTTTTAGGCACCATAATTTGGCAAATAAACCACCAAAGAATTATTTGCTCGGTGCTAGAGGGTAATGCTGCACACATCCATGTTCTGGATATAGGAAAAACAAAATAATAAACAAAAAGAGTGTGCAAAACCTCTGACCATAAAAATCACAAAGAAAGCAAACAATAAAGTCATATAAATAATAAAATCATATCAACATCAATAAATAAAATCACCAATATAGTATAAAAATATAGGCAAATTCAGTATAAATCAAACATTGATATAAGAGAAATGAAAGTGGTTATAAAGGCAGAATGTTTTTTATCTTAATGCATTATTATGCATTAAGGTAAACAACCGTCTTGGTCCAGCTCCCGCCCCCCTTATACTTACCTGAGCCCATCTTGATCCAGAGCAGCTGCTCTCCCAGGTCTCTCTAACCTCCTTGGCTCACACAGAAGCTGGAGACATTGGCTCCTGCTGCTGTCAATCACAGACCTGAGGGACAATAACTTTGTTTAAAAAAGTTTGGAGACCCCTAACTGAGAGTTAGTACAGTAAACAGTAAACTCTCACCTTGTAATACAACCCATTCACTTTAAAATATAACTGAATGGCAAAGCATTTGTATATATGTACATATAAAAAAAAATTATAAATGCCTTTTTTCTCTTTTTGTATAAATGATCACATACCCTCTGTTCTCATCTCAGGGAGGAGAAATAGCAGAACACTGAACTTCCAAGTGAATGGCTGTGCAGGGGGAGGCGTGTCAGCACACGCCTGATCATTGGAGGAGAGCACATGCAGTTCCCAGCACAGCTAGAAAACTGACCACACTGTGCTCTCCTGCCTAGTGTGGTTAGTTTAATAGGAAAGAAGAGGGACTGGCAGGAACACCAGGGATTTCACACAAAGGAAGCAATACAAAATACATGGTACAGCTGGCACATATCAGGAATATGAAATGTTGGGTTTACATATTCTTTAGGGTGGTCTTGAGTTCCTATAGAAAATGCATGCGTGGTTTAAATTCCAAAAGCCACATGTTGAGTGTCTTGCTCCAGTTTTTTGGTCCTATAAATCAAAGTTAAAGACTTTTGCTACATGTATTCTCAAAATGTTTGAGCCACTGAAGGGGATGTATCTTCCCCGAAACAGACTCCATCCCTGTGATGTCATACCTGGAAAAGGCAGAGCCCAGTGCACTGGCACCATGCTCTCACTGTGGACACTTGTGGTGGTGTTTTCATCCTTTATGTTTGTCAAGCTTTGTAATGCTTGCCGCTTGGGACCTTGCTGTCCTCTGGCATTACTGTTTGTGAGTTCATCTTTTATATAGGCTGTCCCTCAAGTCTGGACACATAGGAAATATCACTATACGTGTGTGTATATATATATATATATATATATATATATATATATATATAAACTCACCAGACCTGAACCCCCTTGACTTTTTTTTGTGGGGTATGCTAAACTGAAAGGTGTACTCTATATGATATGCATTACCTGAAGGAACACATCATGAATGAATATGCTCAAATTGATGGAAATGTGGAGTTACTGCATCAAGTTCATGTGAATCTTGCAAAGTGCATGGAACTTTGCATCACAAATGGTGGAAATCACATTGAATATGTTATTGATTAATTTTCCAATTAAATAAAATAAAATGTTGTTGAAGAGAGACCCTGTATATTCCTATTAATTCGATTTTTTTTCCATATCAAATGTTATATTAATTTGACATGCATATACAGTTGTGCTCAAAAGTTTGCCTACCCTGGCAGAAAATGTGAAATTTTGGCATTGATATTGAAAATATGGCTGATCATGCCAAAAAAATGCTCTTTTATTGAAGGATGATCATATGAAGCCATGCATTATCAAATAGTTGTTTGGCTCCTTTTTAAATCATAATGATAACAGAAATCACCCAAATGGCCATGATCAAAAGTTTACATACCCTGGAATGTTTGGCCTTGGTACAGACACACAAGGTGACACACACGGGTTAAAATGCCAATTAGAGGTTAAAGTCCCACATTTGTGGCTTTTTAAATTGCAATTAGTGTCAGTTTATAAATAGTCAATGAGTTTATTAGCTCTTATGTTGAAGCACTGACTAGGATAGATACTGAGCCATGGGGATCAGAAAAGAACTGTCAGAAGTCCTGCATAACAAGGTAATAGAACATGGCCATTTGGATGATTTCTGTTATCATTATGATTTAAAAATGAGACAAATAACTATTTGATAATAAACGGATTCATATGATCATCATTCTTCAATAAAAGAGCATTTTTTGGCATGATCAGTCATATTTTCCATATCAATGCCAAAATTTCTGAATTTCTGCCAGGGTATGTAAACGTTTGAGCACAACTGTATTACACTATGGTGATATTTACACCACTGTTTTCTGTTTTGTCCCATTAGATTTTGCCTGGAGTTCCTTCTGTCATGCAATGGCTACCTCTGCCATTTTTCTTTATTATGTCATTTTTATTCTTGAATTTGAGAATTTTTCATTACTGAAACTAGTGCCTCTTTTTTTACATATCGTACATTTGCAATTAACTTTTCTCGCCACTTATGTACCACAGTATTTCTATTAGTTGCTAGTGTTATCTGGGGTGTTTTGTGAAGGGATAACCATGATTAATAAATATTCTGTTCTAGCTATAGCCTGCAGAATGGAATTGGGTTCACTGGAACTGGAAGGGTTCAAGGAGGATGGGTCACTGAGGCTATGGCCAGTGAGCAGTAACAGGCAGGAAGAAAGTCATTATGGACAGTTGTACTTAAAGGTACAGCAGGCAACCTGATAGTAGCACAGACAAGTGAGACAAATATGAAAGGTCATGTATGTAAAATTTAAATAACTATGTAGAATGTGCCACGTGTCTCTGCACAAACCTTCTGCATTCTATTTTAGCTGCTGCCATCCTATATGTTAATTAGAAATCACCATAGCCAGCACATGCAGTACAATGTGAAAGTGTGAAAATAGCTTAATAGTTGATCAGATGTTCAGCATGCATGGCTGTCTTCAGTCAAGTTCCTTTTTTATGGCTGCAGGTATGTCTGAAAAATGAATGACACATTCAGTACAGATTCTTTCCAGGGCTCAGACTATACAGAGAGACAAGGAAGAAGCAGGTAGATCACTTTGTCAGTCTGTAGACAAGTCATTAAAATTCTATCTACATAGTATGTGAAATCCAGTTCACACACATCACAATGCTTGCATTTCCTGCCATCTGTCTATGGAAATAAAGCAGTAGTCAAAACAAATTAAGAAGGTAAGAATTACTATTCTAGATAGCAATCACTATTAATGAGTACTTCTATAGTCTTACTAATTTTTAATTAAAGGTTTCAGTAGTGTGCATTAAGCATGATTATAGAATATGATGCTATGGCCTGCATATAAATAAATGTTGTAGCAAGAAAATCCTTTGAACATGTAATTATGTTAAGGAGAAAAACAAAAAAGTATTGAAATTTTGCTTCTCACTATTGAATAAGAGCCAAAGTTCTGTAGTTCCTGTAATACTCATGTGTTTTCGTTATTAGGGTCGGTTCACACCACACTTTTACGATCCGGATACGTTTTTGCATGCACTTTTTTATTGTTCCAGGATACTTTTGATGCATTTTCATGCATTTTCAATGTGTTGCAGTGCATTATTCCCCTTTGTTTTTTCCCCAAAGTTTCCAGTGCATTTTTAATGGATTTTGCCATGTTCCAGTGTACATACCTTGCAGAAAAAATGCAGTCCCACTTTGTTGACTGTACTGGAATGCACTGCAATGGTGGGAACTGTGCCTTTGGAATCCATGTAACCTACTGTCCATGCATTTTTGATGCAGGAAAAAAATGCACTATACTGCATGTGGTGTGGTCAGACCCTTAAAAATTATTCACAAAGCCCCTTGGGTAAGTCATAATAACTTTTAT